TGAAAATGCCCGTCAAAAAATGTCTAGGAATTGAAGATCTGATTGGTTAGTGCGGACTGAGCATTTATGCTGTACAATTGGATCCTTGATTTTTGAGTAGTTTCCCCCATGTACAGTATGACTGATTGCAGGGACATATTACGGTATACGGACACATTGGAAGATTGGCATGTATGGCAACCTCTTGAGGGTTGTCTTTTTTGTTTAAATTGTATGCAGTGTAGTATGATGTCAAAAGGCAAAAAATGTATGCATCCCGGGACCAAGGAGGAATTTAAAGAGGTTACCATACGTGCCAATCTTCCTATGTGATATGTGACTGCCTGCAAAAAGGAACAGGTGGACCTGAACGGAGCGATCGTGTGAAAGGGGCCTCATAGAGATGAAAGAAGTTGTAAAACTGCTGGATACTGATTTAGAAAACTGAGGTACACACACACCTGTTCTTTATATTGTTGTGTCAAATAGAATGATCTAAAAGTTCTCCTTTCCTGAGTAGTTTTGAAGCTCCCTTTAGGAACTAAAACATTCATGTCTTCCATAGTGTGGTCTAGTTGTGAAAAATGATGTCCCACCGGTTGTTTGCATATAGCTGTACCTCCAGTAATGTTGTGTACCTCGTCCAATTCAAAAAATTCAACCAAAGATCTTAGGCTGGTGAAACAGGTGGACAATGATAAATAAGAATGATTTTACACAGACACACCATTAAAGAACATAAGGAAGATGATTTCTGCACACCTGTGGGACATCAGTACATGCCGTGATGCTTCCTAACATATAGCAATTGGTGGGTAGCAAATGGGAAGGCGATACATTCAGGTAAAAGGGGAAGCGCCGAAAAAACATGAAATCCTACAACTCCATGCAATAGATTTGGTTGTGGTGGGTTTGTCAGCAAAAAATCAGGTTAAAATAGGCAGTGAGGAGTCATCTCATTACCCCCTCAGTACCTGTCATTTTCCTCTGAAGCATGATCTGAACGCATTGACATCTAAATCTAGCCTAAACACACACAGGGCACACGGTACATGTCACCTCTACACACGTAGCACACTGTACATTTCACATTTACACACACAGCACATGTCACATTTACACACACAGCACATGTCAAATTTATACACACAGCACACTGTACATGCCACATTTACACACACAGCATGTCACATTTACACACACAGCACACTGTACATGTCACATTTACACACACAGTACAGCGCACATGTCACATTTACACACACATCACACAGTACATGTCCCATTTACACACACAGAACACATCACATCTACACACACAGCACACTGTACATGTCACATTTACACACATGGTACAGTGTACATGTCATATTTACATACATAGCACACCATACATGTCACATTTACACACAGAGCACGGCGTAAAGGTCACAATTACACTCATGGGCCACGCCGTACAGGTCACAATTACACATAGAGCACACTGTACATGCCTCATGAACACATAGAGCACACATGTAGAGCATGTCACAGAACATAGAGCACACAGTACATGTCACAGGAACATATAGAGCACACTGTACATGTCACAGGAACACACAGTACATGTCACATGAACATAGAGCACACTGTACATGTCACATGAACACATAGAACACACAGTACATGTCACAGGAACACATAGAGCACACTGTACGTCACATGAACATAGAGCACATTGTACATGTCACAGGAACACATACAGCACACTGTACATGTCACAGGAACACACAGTACATGTCACATGAACATAGAGCACACAGTACATGTCACAGAAACACATAGAGCACACAGTACATGTCACAGGAACACATAGAGCACACTGTACGTCACATGAACATAGAGCACATTGTACATGTCACAGGAACACATACAGCACACTGTACATGTCACAGGAACACACAGTACATGTCACATGAACATAGAGCACACAGTACATGTCACAGGAACACATAGAGCACACAGTACATGTCACAGAAACACATAGAGCACACAGTACATGTCACAGGAACACATAGAGCACACTGTACATGTCACATGAACATAGAGCACATTGTACATGTCACAGGAACACATACAGCACACTGTACATGTCACAGGAACACACAGTAGCACACTGTACATGTCACATAGAGCACACAGTACATGTCACAGGAACACATAGAGCACACAGTACATGTCACAGGAACACATAGAGCACACTGTACATGTCACAAACACACAGCACAGTGTACATGTCACATGAACATAGAGCACACTGTACATGTCACAGAAAAACACATAGAGCACACTGTACATGTCACAGGAACACACAGTACATGTCACATGAACATAGAGCACACAGTACATGTCACAGGAACACATAGAGCACACTGTACATGTCACAGGAACACATAGAGCACACTGTACATGTCACAGGAACACACAGTACATGTCACATGAACATAGAGCACACAGTACATGTCACAGGAACACATAGAGCACACAGTACATGTCACAGGAACAATAGAGCACACTGTACATGTCACAGAAACACATAGAGCACACAGTACATGTCACAGGAAACACATAGAGCACACTGTACATGTCACAGGAACACACAGTACATGCATGAACACAGAGCACACAGTACATGTCACAGGAACACATAGAGCACACTGTACATGTCACAGGAACACAGAGAGCACACTGTACATGTCACAGAAACACACAGTACATGTCACATGAACATAGAGCACACTGTACATGTCACAGAAACACATAGAGCACAGTACATGTCACAGGAACACATATAGCACACTGTACATGTCACAGGAACACACAGTACATGTCACATGAACATAGAGCACACTGTACATGTCACAGGAAACACATAGAGCACACTGTACATGTCACAGAAACACACAGTACATGTCACATGAACATAGAGCACACTGTACATGTCACAGAAACACATAGAGCACACAGTACATGTCACAGGAACACACAGAGCACATGTCACATGTCACATAGAGCACACAGTACATGTCACATGAACATAGAGCACACAGTACATGTCACAGGAACACATAGAGCACACTGTACATGTCACAGAACACACAGTACATGTCACAGAACATAGAGCACACAGTACATGTCACAGGAACACATAGAGCACACACACAGTACATGTCACAGGAACACATAGAGCACACAGTACATGTCACAGAACACATAGAGCACACAGTACATGTCACAGAAACACATAGAGCACACAGTACATGTCACAGGAACACATACAGCACACTGTACATGTCACAGGAACACACAGTACATGACACATGAACATAGAGCACACTGTACATGTCACAGAAACACATAGAGCACACTGTACATGTCACAGAAACACATAGAGCACACTGTACATGTCACAGAGAGCACACAGTACATGTCACAGGAACACATAGAGCACACTGTACATGTCACAGGAACACATAGAGCACACTGTACATGTCACAGAAACACATAGAGCACACAGTACATGTCACAGGAACACATACAGCACACTGTACATGTCACAGGAACACACAGTACATGTGACACATGAACATAGAGCACACTGTACATGTCACAGGAACACATAGAGCACACAGTACATGTCACAGAAACACACTGTACATGTCACAGGAACACACATGTACATGTCACAGAAACACACACAGTACATGTCACATGAACACATAGAGCACACTGTACATGTCACAGAAGAGCACACAGTACATGTCACAGGAACACATATAGCACACTGTACATGTCACAGAGGAACACACAGTACATGTCACATGAACATAGAGCACACTGTACATGTCACAGAAACACATAGAGCACACAGTACATGTCACAGGAACACACAGTACATGTCACATGAACATAGAGCACACAGTGTACATGTCACAGGAACACATAGAGCACACAGTACATGTCACAGGAACACACACAGTACATGTCACATGAACATAGAGCACACTGTACATGTCACAGGAACACATAGAGCACACTGTACATGTCACAGGAACACACAGTACATGTCACATGAACATAGAGCACACTGTACATGTCACAGGAACACATAGAGCACACTGTACATGTCACAGGAACACACAGTACATGTCACATGAACATAGAGCACACTGTACATGTCACAGGAACATAGAGCACACTGTACATGTCACAGGAACACACAGTACATGTCACATGAACATAGAGCACACTGTACATGTCACAGGAACACATAGAGCACACTGTACATGTCACAGGAACACACAGTACATGTCACACATGAACATAGAGCACACTGTACATGTCACAGGAACACATAGAGCACACTGTACATGTCACAGGAACACACAGTACATGTCACAGAACATAGAGCACACTGTACATGTCACAGGAACACATAGAGCACACTGTACATGTCACAGGAACACACAGTACATGTCACATGAACATAGAGCACACTGTACATGTCACAGGAACACATAGAGCACACTGTACATGTCACATGAACATAGAGCACACTGTACATGTCACAGGAACACATAGAGCACACTGTACATGTCACAGGAACACACAGTACATGTCACCACACAAGTCACACGTTTTCTGTATTTACTGCCAGCAGTGAATGTGAATGTCGTCATCAGGCGGCAGAGCCGGAACAGTGGGTTTTCTTTGGCAGGGAAGCGAAGAAGGGGGAGGGACTTTGGCTCGTCTCGCCTGGCTGAGGCTCCACGTTCACCTATCAGGAAAGAGGGGCCGTCCCGGCAGCGGGCTGTCCAATCACATCTCACCACGACCAGGGCTCAACTTACTGGGAACTAGTAGAAGTGGCCCCGGACGGAGGGTTGTCACTGTGTCCAGGAAGGTTGAGCACATAGCGGTACGGACTCGGGCTCCCAGCCTGTGTGTGGTGTATAGAGCACAGGCAGACACTGTCCTCCAGCATGGTGTCACCCGTCGCCTGTGCACAGAAGCTGCTGTCTTTCTTCCCTTTCCTGCTGGTTCTGTTTGATCTCCAATATGAAGGTAAGAAGGCAGCCTGCCCCCAGAAGAGAGCAGGCTCAGGGCTGGCCCGGTCTGTGGAGTGAGGCCAAGGAGAGGAGGGGGTCTGTGTTCATGGGACCTCTCTCTACAGAGCCCCCTTCATGGGGGAGTCCTGAAGTCTATGGATCAGCTGAGCTCCATACTCGCTGCTTGTGTCATGTACATACTGTTCCACTTGTATCTCCTGACTGGAGGAAGATATGTTAAAGTTTATCATTGTGGGCTAAAATAAAAAAGATGTTCTACCTATCTGCTGTGTGCAACAATACTGTACAGAGTGGTCCCTTACCTTCTCTTCTGGGGTCCTTCGCTGGTGCTGTCCTCTCCACCTTCCCTGCTGGTGTCCTCATAGCAAGTCGTGTGCTGGGGGTCACACATATGGGAGCACTCCTGAGCTCCAGGCTGTGTGTGTCCATAGACACACACAGTGCAGTTCAGCCAAGCCCCCCCTCCCCACAGGACTTGACTGACGGCAGCAGGAGCCAATGGCTCTCTGTGAGACCAGCAGGAGAGGAGAATGGTGTTGTCCTCTCCACCTTCTCTGCTGGTGTCCTCCTAACAAGCTCTGTGCTAGGGAGGGACACATGTGGGAGCACTCCTGAGCTGGGCTGTGTGTGTCCATAGACACACAGTGTGGTTCAGCCAAGTCCCCCCTCCTCATAGGATACGACTGACAGCAGCAGGAGCCAATGGTTCTCGAATTTTCCTGTGAGACCAGGAAGAGAGGAGACTGGTGCTGCAGCCGGGCACAGCGCTGGATCATGAGAGAACTCAGGTAAGTGTTTAGTGAGGGGGCAACTGTTAATGGGGTGTTTTTACCTCAATGCAGAATTTTCACTCAAAAGGGGACTTCTGCTTTCAGTCCTCCTCCTCCCCCAATCCCCTTTCTAATTTGGTATATAATTTTTGGGGGGAGGCACGGGTACCTAGTTTTGACAGGTTCCCACTTCCACGTGGATCACCTAAGCAATCCGAGTGGAAGTTTGGCCCCCCTCTATCTTCACCCTCAGCTTTCTGGGACAAGCCACATGTCCCAGAAGGCTGTGGGCCATTGGAAAAGTGCAGCATGGCTCATTAGGGTTGCCACCTCATCCTTTTAAAACCGAACGCATATTAAGTACAGGTTCTGAGGGTAATTTAATGCAGATAAGGCACTATGTGAGCTTAATTGCCATCTTAATCAGCCCCAGAACCTGTGTAATTAATATGTGTCCGGGTTAAAAGGGATGAGGTGGCAACCCTATGGCTCGAGCATGCGCGGTATGTAGACAGCTGTGAAGCCGCAAGCTGCTACAGTTGGCTTCCCACACTAAAGAAGCCAGTGACCCAAAGACTGGTGAAGAGCTAGCCCAGGTGAGGATGGCACTGGATCAGGTAAGTGTCCTTATATCAAAAGTCAGCAGCTACAGGATATGTAGCTACTGACATTTATTTATTCTAGATTGAAGTTCCGCTTTAATGCAGGGAATGCATTAAGGTAAAAACCAGTTAGCTTTTAGAACCACGCTAATGGTGTCCATAGGCTTCATGCAGGCTGATGTAAGTGGTTCTGCATTCTCAGTAAAGTGCTGTGGATTATGTTGATGCAATATAAATGAATAAAATTACATTTCCTAAATCATCCATACACTTAAATGGAGATCAAATGTTGAGTTTCCTTTTAAACACAATTTCAGCATTTCCAGTCATCCTCTTAATACAGGAGCGCGTGAATCCCAATATTGGAAGACAACCAGAGAATCAGTGTGGTCATAGACCAGGGGTGGGCAAACTTTTTGACTTGAGGGCCGCAATGGGTTCATATATTGGACCCGGGGGCCGGACCAAGAGTAGATGAATGATGTGTATGTGTCATCCATAGTAAGTATAGTAATATTCCCCCATAGTAAGCATAGTAATTTATCCCCCCTATAGTAATTCATCCCCCCTATAGTAATTCATTCCCCATATTAAGTCCCCAAGTCCCCCCTGTGTCAATTCACTTACCTTTGCTCCGCGCGTTCCTCTCGCCGTGTTCCCGCGCCGTTCCGGTGTAGCATGAAAATCTGTCTCCTATGAGGATCTGTCCCCCTCGACGTATCTGCGCATGTGCCAGTTTCAGGCATTAGCAGCCGATCGGCGATCTCTGGCACATGCGCAGATACGTCGAGGGGGACAGATCCTCATAGGAGACAGATTTTCATGCTACACCGGTCTTCAGGGCGGACTGTGAGAGGAGCCTAGTGGGAGCCTAGCTCCGCGGGCTGGATTAAAAGGTCCGCCGGGCCGTAGTTTGCCCATTGCTGTCATAGACTGACAGATATGGCTCCAAGACCCCTCCAAAGAAGAGGCATGGGCCCGCCAACAGGAAGATTCCTCAATATTAGATGTTGGGTATCTCTGGCTGCCGGAGGTACTCATTACTGTCTTCTAGGAGTAGCCATACACACAGAGATTTCTATCATTCAACCTGTGAACTAGATTCTAAGAGATTTCTAATAGAGTTCTCCATCCATGCTAAACAGCATTGATGAGTAAAACTCCACTGCTGGCTGTTGTATTCAAGCATCTGCAGCTATTAGGTTGGGTTCACACTGATGTGGTGCGGAATTTGCAGCGTTTTCTGTGCAAATTCCGCACCACATCAGAATCACACCCCATTCATGCGAACTGATGCGGGTGTGTTTTAACACCCCGAAATCGGTCACAAAACCCGTCGCAATGTGCAGAATTGGATCACATAGGTGTGAATACCCATGCGATCCAGTTTTAGCGCAGACCCAAAAAAGGGTCCTGCATCTTTTTGGTCCAGGTGCGGTGCAATTGGAGCCATACATAATGTATGGCTCCAATCGCACCGCACATAAATCGTATGTGATTCGCACAGGAATGCAGTGCGGCTCCTGTGTGAATCACATGCGATGTACCGCACCGCAGTAGTGTGAACCTAGGCTTAAAGTGTCTCAACATGGTTGGATGTGGTTGCTGTTTGGGTGAGGATCTTCCACATTGGCTTCTTTGACTTTTCAGTTGAAGTTTGTTGGGCTGGATGGAGCTGACAAGGCCACCCACATTTGCTGAAGTTTGAGTCATGTAAGACCAGTTTTATGTGAAACTAAAGCCAAAGCCTTTTTTAATTTTGGGTAGAGTAAGAGAAGGTTGTGTAGTTTTTGTTTTGTTTTTTGGGGGGGGGGGGTGTTGCCATCTGTGTCCTGCTGGAGAGGTTTCCCTTCACTTCCAGTCCTGGAGCTACACTAGAAGGTGGGAGGGAATCCCTTGATAAAGTGAGGGAATCCTTGGTTGTCATCAGAACTAGTGCCCACATTGAAAAATTTCCCCTTTATTCCTATTCTGGTGACAGCTCAAAATTCTGTTTTTTTTTTCACTTTTACTCTCAGTGATAATGATCAAAAGGACAAATGGAGTGGGAGAATCTCCCTAATGGGGACACAGACGGCAATAAAAAACCTGACCAGTGTCCTAATCCTCTCCACTCTATCTAAAACTAATGAAAAAAAAAAAGTTTTAGCTTTAATACTACTTTGATTTCAATTACACACTTTTGACAGGCTAGTGATCCTATTGCTGGCAAGAACTTACTGGGGGCAGGGTTGTTTGGAAGGACCATTGTGAAACATGAAATACCTGCTTGCAAGTGTCATTCCCTCCCCGGCTGGATGAGGGAGACAGCATTCTCTTGCCAGCAACTTACTTTTTTTTTTTTTTTTGTAAAGAATAAAAAGCATGTAAACTTAGACACCATTCACACCACTGCGATTTAAAATCACGCCATTTGTGTGCGATTTCTGAAGACTTTATTGCGACTTGTGAAGATTTTCAACCATTTCTTGCAATTTGCTTTGTGATTTCCATTATATTCTACATATTCTATGTATGTGAAATCGCAATAAACTGCAGAAAAAGTAGTGCAAGAACTACTTTCGAGATCACACTGCAGCAAATTGCACATTTTAAGACCTTGACTTTCACATTCAATAAATGCAATTTCAGGTGCGATTTTAATTCCCAAATCACACCTGAAATTGCACTGGTATGACCGGGCACTTAAAGCGGAGCTTCCTATCGTTTTCAGCCAAGAAAGCTGCCAACTTAGCTGATCTGCAACTGCCATTGTGCTGCATATGTGATCAGTTATGACTCTAGCCATTTGATGGTTTGACAGTGAGAAGAACACAAGCAAATGTGACAGTTACTATCTCAGCACGTGCTGATAATGTAACTGTTTTTTTGAAACTGTTTAATGAGTTTAGTTCCACTTTAAAACACATAAAAAGAAGACAATATAGAAGATACGTGGAGGTAAAAAACTGATCTTGTCCTTATTGGGGTTACAATAGAGATCCACTGCAGGCTAATACGATAAAGATATCAATTACTGGCAATTATTAAGTGACTCAGTCAGTTGTGTATGTATACAGTTGGGTTATGTGATCGCTATTTATGGTAGGGGTGGAGGGCTGACGGTTGCCATTGATTACAATGGGTAGATCTACATTTTAAAGCATTTTCTTAATTGAGGAAGCTTGTTGCTGTATTGCTGAAACCAGCAACAGAAAGAAGGCAGATAAGTGTTCTTCCTGCATTTTCTAGCAACCCTGCACTAGCCTGGGGAATTATCACTTGCAACAGGATCACAAGTATGACTTCAGCCTAAAGAGGCCCCATCTTAGATTGTAAGCTCCAAGGAGCAGGGCCCTCCTAACCCTCTTGTATTGTCTCGCTTTATATTGTAAAGCGCTGAGCAAACTGTTGGTGCTATATAAATCCTGTATTATTATTATTATTATTATATTAATAAAAAAACCAGTGAAATCTGGAGCATTGCTTGTAGTTGTAAGGCTGTTTGTGGCCACCTTGAATCAGTAAATGATAAGGCTGGGATGGACTGCAAATTTTGCTAAGACATTTTTTTATAGACATTTTTTCAAAAAGGCCATAAAAGACATACTTCAGCAAAAAATGTAATTAGTGGTAGGTTTTTT